AGATTGCCTTCTGCCCTTAGCAAAGTATGAACACCAGGCAGCTGAGTCCCTAGAGGAAGGTCACTCTGCCTGCTTCAAGGACGTGTCAGTGGGCTATAAGTTGTAAGGAAATTTAGATATTTTTCTTCTTCCTTTCTTTCCCACATCACTGTCCACAAAAACTTCATGAGGCATTAGACAGACTCAACATTAGTCTAAGCTTTTTCTTTCAGACAAATTTTGCAACAGAAATACCATGAACTTATTTGACTTTTACTAAACACAAGCAGAATAAAAATTTTATATTTAATGGTGATAACTCTAAAAACATAACTATTTTAATTAAGCCAACAAACTTAATTTAGCTTAATACCAAATATTTTCTCAGATTACATGAGTTTAAATTTATTTCTAACTTTCTGAATGTTGGAATGCCCAATCTCTACAAACATGTACCTTCAAACTAAATAGAGTTCTTGTATGTGTTAACTATACCAATACCATCCAGGGATAGAGCAAATATCTCACATTAAAACATACATGGACACACACACACACACACACACACACCACAAAATACAGACAAGATACAAACAAAATTTTGATATTTGTGGAGAGGATATTGTAGGCCCAATTTAAAAAAAAAATCTATTTATTTGAGGAGGGGGGGGAGAGAGAGAGAGAGAGAGAGAGAGAGAAAGAAAGCAGGGGGAGGGGCAGAGGGACAGAGAAGGAGAGAATCTCAGACTCCACACCAAGCACAGAGCCCAAAGCAGGACTTGAATTCACCACTCTGAGATCATGACTTGAGCTGAAATAAAGAGTCAGATATGTAACCAACTGAGCAATCCAGGTGCTACTAGGCCTAATTTTTAAATAGTTCCATCTATCTATCTATCTATCTATCTATCTATCTATCTATCTATCATCTATCTATCTATCTATCTATCTATCTATTTTTATGAAAAACTTCTCCCTAAAGTTTGCATGTCAAAAAGACTGGCTCTGGGTCTTAGAGAAAATGGAGGTAGAAAATGTATATCAAAAGCAGAGAGAGAGTATATAAGTTTTCTTGAAGGTGGATATTTGGAGCATCTCTGCCTGTTATCATAGGTACTGTATACTCTGGCCATAAGAGTGCTTTTCAGAAGTTTGCATTTAATTTTATTTATTTTCTCTTAAAGATTTTATTTATTTATTTCTGTGAGACACACAGAGAGAGAGAGAGAGGCAGAGGGAGAAGCAGGCTCCATGCAGGGAGCCGGATGTGGGACTCGATCCCGGGGTTGTGGGATCAGGACATGAGCTAAAGGCCGGTGCTCAACCGCAGAGCCACTCAGGCATCCCCTGCATTTTAAAAAGGCCTCTTTCCCTCCACCCTACCCTCTCTTCTTTTTAAATTCAGTCTCAAATTAAATAAATAAATAAATAAATAAATAAATAAATAAATAAATAAATAAAAATAAATTCAGTCTCAGGAAATTGTGGAATGTGTTTATATTTCAAAGACATGGTAAGATTTATAATCTCAAGGGACTGAGAATGCAAAAGAAATTTTTGTCTAGAGTTTCAGGGTAATTCCTATTAAAAACTTACTCCTCTTTTTAAAGTACAGAACAATTTTGTTCCAATATGCTGATTTTTAAAATATATCCACAAACATTTTGAAAGGAATATGCAAGGTTTGGAGATTCGTAAAGACAGGTGGGCTTTAACTTGTTTCTAGAGTTGTAGAGATTCTGTAGAGATTTGTAAAATAAGGAGAGTTATTCCTAATTCCCAAAAGACTGGATTATATCGAAGGATTGGCCCATCTTTTTAAATGAATTTACTTCTTCATATTACAGAGAATGTTAACCGAATTAGGAGCCCAAAATGTATGCCTTTGTAAAGTCTATCTAAAGCATTTAAACAACAGCCTTGTTTTTCTGGATACACAATTTAAACTGGGCTTCTATTAGCCCCTGAATATTAGCCTTTTGTAAATCATTTCTGGGAGGGCCTAAGGGATATTTTGGTTTTATATTTCCTCAGAAGCCAAAGTTGTGAATACAGTCAAGTAATCTTTCAAATCACTCCCAAAATGTGGTAGAATCTTTTCAGAGTAGAAGTAAAGGGGCTTTATAATTGAAAAGCTCTGCTGTGATCCAGGGGAACGGGATTTTGCTGTTGTGTAGTTGTGGGGCTGGGTGGAGACAGGAGGGCAGTCAATCTAGCATACTCCTGCAAAGGGCATTGATTGTATAGGCATGCCTTGAGGCTTGCAGAACTTGATTACAGAGCTAAGGCAGGTAGGACCAAAGCAACCTTTATTGCTAATCTCCTGCTGCTTTTGTGAAACTCATTTTCTGGCTTTCAGCATTTACCTGAGCAACATGTATATTTTGAACCTAGAGATTAAGCCAGAGTGATCTCCGTAAATCTGGTAGGAAAGGGGAATTAAAACAGGCACTTGCAGCCAAACTTTAAGAAGGAGAATTTACATTGCCTGTGGACATTTCTTTTTGTCTTGCGTCTGATTTCTGGTCTTTTATCTTGTCAATGGAGTCCCTAAGGTGAGCCACTATAAGACAATTGAGGGCTCCTTAATATATATATTTTAATACAGTCAATTTAAAGGATCCATTGTAAAAATAAATGAATGATACATTGTGTGGCCACTGATGCGTAGGATCTATTAATAGTGACTTCTCTTGCTTTTTTTTTAAGACTTTATTTATTTCTTCATGAAAGACACAGAGAGAGAAGCAGAGACATAGGCAGGGGGAGAAGCAGGCTCCTCTCAGGGAGCCTGATGTGGGACTCGATCCCAGACCCTGGGATCAGGCCCAGAGCCAAAGGCAGATGCTCAACCGCTGAGCCACCCAGGCGTCCCCTGTTAATAGTCACTTAAACCAATGAGCTTTCTAATGGCTTAACCAAAGACACAATAGGTGTCTAGAGAGGATGCAGACGATGCAGCCCCCCTGATCCAAAAGTGTACTTATGAAATTAGTCTAAGACAGCAAAGACCTTCATTGCGCAGGCAGTAAGGATGGTATAATGAATAAGATGTGCCTGGTCTCTCATGACAATGTGATACATCTCCAGTCTCAGATCCACTAATTCATGGTATCAGGTAGGCGCTTCTGGAAAGAGACTTTCCAGCACTAACGAGGAAGGAATGCTGAGATGACAAAGATGCCTATGAACTGGAACCTCTCATGACACAGCTGAACAGAGAAATTCTGATCCCCAGTGGATTCGATTGCCCACCAAGGTGCACCCTGGTAAGTGCACCCTCCCGATGGTGACAGGGGAGACCAAAAGAGAATTTTCGCGCTGGGCAAAAGCCAAGCTCTTAGGACATAGAACAAGACAAAAGGAAAATAGTAACAGATCAAAGCCTTCGGTCTCCTGGAGCCACACTAATACCTGGGAAGTATGTGCTGTGGAGTTGGGACTCCATGTTCTTTTCCAGTGTACTTACTTCACAAAGTTTACTTGAGTTTGGGGGTGACCTAGTGTCAACATAACCCTTTCCAGACCAACTTATCCTATCATGAGTGTCTTCTTCTTGCGCTAGTCAGCATTCAAATAGCTTTAGAGTGGTCAATCCATACCCTTGGCTCCCAAGAAGTCCCTTAGCAAGAGACCACAAACAGCATAAAAGACACAGACAAAAAAAAAAAAAAAAAAAAAAAAAAGCAAAGACCATCTCTGGGAGGAAAAGGATCAGTTAGTTACCAAAGAGTACTCTGTCAAATTAAGCAGAGTCATTTAGTCCAAGACACTAGTTCCACAAATATTCTCTGTTCCTAATCTAAACGTAGAAAGAGAGAAAAAGAATTCTTACCATTCTTGCCCCATCACTACCCTTGCACTCCACAGAGACTAAAAGAGGCAGACATGATAAATCTTACCTGATGCCAGCAATGTGGCAGATCTCCTAAGTTTCTAAGCTGCAGCAGAGTCTGGGGCAAGAAGTATCCAAGGAGTTAAAGTATCCTGGCATTTGGGACAGCTCTAGGGGAGCAAATAATCCTGTCCCTTCAAAGCTCCCTGAGGCTAGACTCAAATTGGTATGAACAGACTTAAAAAGAGAAAACCAACCATACACTGTACATATGGGGAATTCACAAAGACACGGATATTCCAAAAACAGGGAAAATGAAGCAGATATATATAGTATATGTACAGTATATATAGATATATATTTATATGTATATATATATCTCACAGTAAACTAAGGAAACTAGTATATATATATATATATACACCATACACACATATACTATACAGCACGTGAGATACATATATATATTGGAGCCCTTCTTCGGGGCCGGCGCGGACTTGGCTGCCTCGGGCACATCGACCCGGCTTTCTCCTGAGAGAAGAGAAAATGGAGTCCACTTCGCCGAAGGAGTTTGAGAGGACCCAACGCACTTCCTAGAGCAGATGTTTGATAGATGTTTGACCTACCATAGGTGTGTGTCACTGATATAAAATTTATCTCTGTTAATAATACTTATTCGAGAAAGGTACCCTTTATCCAATTTAGAGTCTCCTCTATCGTTAAGAGAAGAAGAAAAATATCTCAAGTATGCGGGGCCTCAAGTGCCTTCAACTCAAAATAACCCACACTCCAAAGACTCACAACTGCAGGGCAGTGGCCTCTCCTGAACAACTACACTATAAAAAATCTGAATATGTTATACACTAGATTGCCTACCTGGCATTCGAAAATACAAGAGTGTGATTTCTAATATTGAATATTAATCCATAAGTTAATCGGCATTCCTATTAATAATCAGATCTTACGATAATAAAACACCTTGAACTAAAGCAGCCAGGCTGACCCGCTGCATCAAGATCTGACCAATGGGAGAGCAGAACTCCAGCCAATCACTAGACGGCAGGCCGTACCACAAGCCGACGAATCAGCGGGGGCAAAGCCTATCCTTCATTTGCATAAGGTTGGCTATAAATACACAGGATCCCGAGGCGGACTCCATTTTCTCTTCTCAGGAGAAAGCCGAGTCGGTATGCCCGAGCCCGCCAAGTCCGCGCCGGCCCCGAAGAAGGGCTCCAAGAAGGCGGTGACCAAGGCGCAGAAGAAGGACGGCAAGAAGCGCAAGCGCAGCCGCAAGGAGAGCTACTCGGTGTACGTGTACAAGGTGCTGAAGCAGGTGCACCCCGACACGGGCATCTCGTCCAAGGCCATGGGCATCATGAACTCGTTCGTCAACGACATCTTCGAGCGCATCGCGGGCGAGGCGTCGCGCCTGGCGCATTACAACAAGCGCTCGACCATCACGTCCAGGGAGATCCAGACGGCCGTGCGCCTGCTGCTGCCCGGGGAGCTGGCCAAGCACGCCGTGTCCGAGGGCACCAAGGCCGTCACCAAGTACACCAGCGCCAAGTGAGCGTTCTCCGAGGCACCATCCAACCCAAAGGCTCTTTTCAGAGCCACACGGTTTCACCAGCAGAGCTGCGCAACTGGCACTCGCTGTACTCGTAGCTTGGCGTTTGGTCAGGTTAGCAGGGACCTCCGGGACGCCACCGCCCATAGCCGGTGTCGGGTGGCGGGCTCCCTGCCCGTGACTCTTGACAGCCGTGGTGTGTACACGCGTCCCCAGCAGTGTGAACGAACGCGCACTGGAATGGTCCCCACTCGCAGCCCTCGCCCTTGGAGCCCCGGATCGCCTTCCTGACAGGTGTTCGGGCGCGGGCAGTGCTGGGGGGGTCTCTAAGCTCCGAGGACTGACCTGGAGGCACCGGGCTCCCTCCTTCGGTTCAGTGTCCCCCCACAGGGTGGGGACGGCCACAGGGACCTTTGAAGAGCGCGCCTTCTACAGGCGAAGTTTCCTCTTTGGTGCCACAGGACTCGCGACCCCGGGTTCTTTGTGTGGCTCGGATTCCTCCCCGCCTCCCCCCTCCCACCCCCGCCTCCCTCTGCCCCACTCGCCTGCTCCGGGCTATCAGGGACCTGGCTGGACACCTGCTGCGGGTCTGTAAGTGTGTTGGGCGGCTGAACGCTCCAGTGAGGACACAGGTCCGTAGAGTTAGCAGGCGTGGCTGTACCCTTTCCTTCCTCAGCTGCTCTGAAAAGGCGTTCGTTACATTTGATGCTTAGGGGTTATGGGGAAGACTGCGTTTCTCTCCCGCTCTCCTCCCTGACTCCCACATGACCTGCGAAGACCTTTCTGGGCCTTCAGCCGCCTCCGTCTCCTCCCTAGCGCAGCCACAGGAGGAGAAGAAGGCTGGCTCAGCACCCCGAGTCCAACCTTCTCTGTCACGGGCGAGTCCCCTCCGAGCCGTCCACCTGTCCTGTCTCCAGCCCCGGCCCCCCAGCTCAGTGATCCCGGAGAGAAGACCCGACACCCGGGCTCAGAGAGCGGAGAAGAGCAGGACGTGCGTTTTAACATTGTGATGCTGGACACCAAGGTCTGGAAGGTTTGTGGTTTGTGAGCACCTGATGCCCAAGAGCCTACACCCCGACAGTTAAAAGTAGAATCTGTCTCCTTGCCTCATTTCTCCGCACGCTGCCATGTGGAGGCTTCCTTTTCGAAGTTAGGTGAGAAAGACTGGGTCCAGAACACCTCACCTGTAAACGGAAAGACCTAATGCACCCAGGAATAGCTAACTCTGTCCTCCTCTATCCCTTATTCTCCCAAAAAGGCAAACAATCACAAGGAAACAAGTATTTTCAGGTTGCCACATTAAAACTGCACTTCAAATTCTGATCCTCTTGTTCCAGTCTGAGATAATACCAAAACTCTCCTGTGCGTGGAGAATCTACTTTCCATACCAGAGGGAGCCCAGTTCTGGAATAAAGCACCTGCTCATGTATTATTCCTCTCAGGGCCTTTCAGGGACCCCTCCCCTACTGCACAAAATCAGAAATCGAGCCCATAGCCTGCCCCTCACCTAAAACTCAAACCAAACCTCAGAGGATTCTTTCCCTCTTGCTATTTCCCTATTTTTTTTATTATTATTATTATCAGTATTCTTTTTTTTCTTGGTTTGCTTTTTTTCACTGTCAGGAATTCCCTGTGACGTCTCCAGCCTCCAGGATTTTAAAATGTTCTCTGCCTGAAATGTCCTTAATTCCACTGCATCCCTAACAAACACACACACGCACAGTTTTTTAATCAACAACTCACCTTTCTGCTCAATCAAAACGCTATTGGAGAAGCTGAGCCACACTAATAAAGTCTCTCACAGCCAGCCACAAAGGACTGGCTGTATTCCCAGCCCCAGACTAATCATTACTAAGTGGCTGGGACCCTCAGGACTACTGCGGTTGAATCAGGACCTGATCCCTGAGACTAGTGAGAAACTCTGCCTTCCTGGAGCACAGGACAACCAGCAAGGGGAGACCCAGACAACACTGAAAAACGTTAGAGAAGGGGGGGGGGGGGTCATGGCACTGCCTGATACAAAGCCTTCTAGGCAGAAAGAAAGAGCATCCATTTGGTCATTCCTACCCAGGTGCCAAGCACTTAATTATGTCCTGAGGATTCAGAGCAGGGCTTCTAACCTTATGAGTGCATCAAAATCACCTGGAGGCTTGCTGGAGGACAGATTACTGGCCCCACTCCCAGAGATTCTGTTCCTTGGCTCTGGGCAAAATCTGGGAACTTGGCTTCCTAACAAGTTTCCACAGATACAAATGTTGCTTGTAGCTACTCTGCTTTGAGAACATCTGATACATGGAGAACAAGCCAAACAAAAGCCCTTCCTGGGGGGGGGGGGGGGGGTTCTGATGGTAAAGTTGAGCTTATGACATATGAGGAAAGGAAAATCAGGATTGCCTGGGTGGCTCTGTCAGTTCAGCATCTGCCTTTACCTCAGGTTATGATCCCAGGGACCTGTGTTCAAGCCCCACATTTGGGCTCCCTGCTCTGAGGGGAATCTGCTTCTCCCTCTACACCCACCCCACTCTTGTGCTCTCGATCTCTCTCAAATAAAATCTTGTTTAAAAATGAGGAAAGAAAAATCAGAGGAGAGTTGAAGCAATTCCTTTATTTGGTCAGATATTGATTTCCTCTGTGTGAGGTATTAAGCTACAGCAGGAAGTGTTGGACAAGAGACCCCTCTCTGGGCCTGAGATCCCGGTGGGAGAGGAGAGATCATCACACTGATGCCTCAGCTCAATCGTTTCAAATAGCAGTTCTCACCGCTATGAAATCATTTGAAATAAAACAGGTGCCCTGATACTGATGAGATGATGCTTCTAATGAGGAAACCAATGACCTAGGGGGTAGTCCAGGGCAAGGGACTGTTGGTACAATAAAGTCCTAGGGCAGGGATGACTTTGTGCTCAGGGGTGGAAGGGATCCAGGGTGGCTCAGAGGCTGGGAGACTTGTAAGCAAAGGTCAGGTGTTAGGACATAAGGCCGAGGGCTAAATGGGTGCCTGAAAATGTTGGGCTTTTTGGGCCAAAGAAGGCACCCAGATAATTATTGTGTCAAGAGAAACTATTAGAATTTGAAAGCACTCAGGGTGCTGTGTGGAAAATGGTACTTGTGGGTTTAGAGGTAGAAACAAGCAGAAGAAAGAATGGAAGAGTTATTGCAATAACCCTGGTGAAATTATTACAGGTGCTATGGACGAGAAAGTCCCAAGAATTCATTGATGAACACAGTTTCATGGGTAAAGAAAAGTGTGCATGACATTGATGGAGCACTTTCCAGGTGTTGAAGACACTGTGCCAGACTCTCTCCTTAAAGGGCAGCTCACATCATCCTTCTCGACATCCACAGTATCCACATACAACCATTCTCTCTGTCTAGTTGACTAGGGATGAGCCAGGTGTGGGGATGGAGTTGGAACCAGATGGTACACCTCCAGGTTGTGCGCTTGCCCACAGCCTACGATGAGGCTGAAGTTCTTGGATGAATGATCACCAACCATGGGACAGGCTGAGGTTTCAGAAACTGGGACAGGACCATTTTTAAATCCCCATCAACATTCCATTGGAGGGTCAAGTAAGTAGCTGTAGATATGAGCCTGATATTCAGAGGCAACTTTGGGACTGTACAAAGAAATGTTTAAATATTTGGAGTGGCAATTTTACTGTGCTTGGCACACATTAACACTGGTATTTACCCATGGAGAAAGAATAAGGAATGACTCAAAGTTCAGAGAAAAAGAAGGGAGCCAAAGATTCTAAATGCCGAGGAAGAGAATGAGGAGAATAGACTCACAAAAGTCAAGAAAAGACTATGTCAGGAAAGAGGACATGGCCAACCTATGGTGATGTGTATGAGATGAGGAAAATGACCTTTGCATATGATAAATGGATCTCACTGGAAATTCGGATTATAGGTAGCAAAGAGTTACCCAGATTTGGGGGGGACAGCTTCAGGAGTATTCCCTCTTACCTAGGCTTTAAGTGTCCGCACTATGTTGTTCCTCTCTGTCTTGGGTGGATCATGGATGACTGATGCTGGCACCTCTCCAGCTGGATCAGTTAGATTTGCTTTCCTAGAAACTAGAAAACAGGACAGAACAGAAAGTCCTGCCTGCTCAGCAAATTTGTCAGGGTGGTAGGAGAACATCTCCTTCAGAAGTTTTTTACATTGCTCAGATAAACTGGAATTGAGTTTTTATGGTTGCATCCACAAATCGTTCATCATTTCACTCACAACTTCTCAGGAAAACATGTAAAGTCAAATATGGTCATGTTAATCATCCTCCACTATCCTGCTCAGTGTCACAGAAGTATTAACTTACCCTCACGTTACCTATGATGGAGAGTGGTTAGTGATTTGCTGCAGACCACAAAGACAGAAAGAGACAGGTCAGGACTTTAAGAGCATGTATTCATAATTTATAGGTCCCCTCTTTTTCTCTGGGCCTAATTTCATGAGCAATAATGATAATAGTAATAGCAATAATAATCAAAGAGAAAACATAGAGCACTTACCGTGCACCATGCACTGGACAAAATGGTTTGGTTTTATTCACCCCAAACCTATAAGGTCGATACTACTGTTTTCCCCATTTTACAGATGGGGCAACAGAGACACAGAGGTTAAGTGACTCAACCAAAGACAACACAAGCACAAATCTCTCTCTGTACAAGGCTTCCAGTTTCATAGATTTTATATATACCTGAGATGATATTGGGAACTTGTAAACTTAACCTATGATTTGCTCAAACATGTAGACTACTACATACTGAGGCCTTGTTAGTGTTATTTACCCAGATGGGTGAATGGAAGACATTTCAGTGGGCCTTAGGAAAAATTCATGACTTCTTCCTGAATCAGGGTGAAAATAAGTTCCTCACTGCTTGTATTTACTCCCAGATCATGTGAGATTCAGTTTGTACTTTCAAGCTTTAACTTTAAGGAGTTATTCATGTCACACAGGACAGATCCACAGTGATCAGTTCACCTCTGAAGGGCAACTCTGCTCCTCCTGATAAATCCAGGATCTTTTCCCTTCAAGTCATTGCTCTGCTATCCCCTGGGACCTGATGTCCCTGCCAAGGGACTGCTGGATCACCTTCTTACCTGGTGGGAAAGGGGAAAGCCCAGACCTGGGAGTGACTTAGCCCAGACCTGGGAGTGACTTCTGACTTTCGGAGCTCTTAGCCACATTCTTACCTGTGTTCCAGGGAAGCGGGGACATGTTGCCTAAGGCTACAAGCCCAGCTATGTAGTTTATTCTGTTCAAGTGAACAACCTTAATGGGGGGGGGGGGGGGGAGCCAGGCTACACAGCAAGGAACCTCTAAGACTCTCCACAAAACCAAACACACTGGGATCACACCAAGGATACAGGGGTAAGGTGGCAGTCTGTGGCATGCTTAAAGAACCTAAGAACAAGAAAGCAAGCGGGAACTCACTAGAAAACCAACGCAATTTTTCCCTAGTCTGCTGATACTACTAGGCAAGGTGGGATTTAAACCCTAAAAACCTGGGCTCGCACAGTCAGGACAGGTTGCATGCAGACCATAGAACCATCACCTGTTAACTGAAGGGACCTCGGAAGTCTAAGATTATGTCCTATAATAAACTAAGGCACTTGATTAAAGCACCTTTTAAGTGGACCTATAGCACGTGTACATTAGGTGGTCTTGGAGGAAGATCAGAACCTCTGGATGGAATTCAGTGGAAGCGAGGCGGACAGGTCCTTCCCCCTCGCCCCCGCCCCCCCAGGATGCCTCACGACTGACAGGCATTAAGGGGTCAAATTTAGAACGGGAGCAGTAGCCTGGGCACATGGAGAGACCCAACTAGGTGTAATCTGCCGAAGTAAGAAATTCACAGCGACAGTACAAAGTGAGCACCTCTTTCTGTAGACTAGATAGGTGGCCCTGAAAAGGGCCTTTGGTTGCAAACTGGGATTTCCTGGTGTTGAGGTCAGAACTCAGCCGCCGAAGCCGTAGAGGGTGCGGCCCTGGCGCTTGAGCGCGTAGACCACGTCCATGGCCGTGACCGTCTTGCGCTTGGCGTGCTCCGTGTAGGTGACGGCGTCCCGGATCACGTTCTCCAGGAACACCTTGAGCACCCCGCGGGTCTCCTCGTAGATGAGGCCCGAGATGCGCTTGACGCCGCCGCGCCGGGCCAGCCGCCGGATGGCGGGTTTGGTGATGCCCTGGATGTTGTCGCGCAGCACCTTGCGGTGGCGCTTGGCGCCGCCCTTGCCCAGCCCCTTCCCGCCCTTGCCGCGACCAGACATGACGAGACCAGAACCTCTGGAGCCTGCACGACACTACCAGCGCCCGCCACGCCGCATTTTTATAACAATGTGACGGACCTGTTTGAAAACCGCAAGCGCAGGGGCGGATCCACACTCCGTTCCCGCCCATCGCCCTTCTAGCCTTTGCTCAGACTGTGCAGACCCGGAAGGCCGGGCGCCCCAAGCAGGAGTCTGTGCCGGGGGAAGGGGATTCCGTAAATCCTCTCGAGTTTCTGATCCGTGCAATGGCCTTGCAGCACTTGCAGCCGCTATGCGGGCACCCGCTATGCCGGGCACCAATGCATACGCTTTCCACAAAGACCTCGTCCTTCACATTTCCCAATCAAGGGCAAAATATGTAGATCCTCCTCGCTGTCGTCCCTCGGAGAGGTTTTCAATAAAATTTGAAGCTAATCCTATCTGTATTGCTAAGATTCTGTTCGTGTTATCGATCGATGGGTGTCCGGTCCCTACGGAGGGCTGGCTGGCTGGCATGCAGGCTGTCCGCTCCCTGCGGAGGGAACAGACAGAGTCGCCTTAAACATTTCAAAGTCAAGTCAGGTTCCACACTGAAGCCTGCGCTGACCATTTGTAAACGCGTGTATGCCAAAGTGAGGAGAGCCTGGTTCTGCTGTGAGTCTCCGCTCTGCGACTTCAGTGTATACTTAGTTACGCACAGCTTAGAGGTAGCGCGGTGTCCGCCTCCACGTTCTGGTGCTCCGGCCTTTGGCATAACCTAGAACGCGGCTCTGGACACAGCCTGCCGCCGTGCTACCTACAGGACCTCGGGCGGGCTATACTCGCTTCTTTTCCTTTCCAAATGTATAAGAAAGTCTAAGTCCTGGAGCATTGAATTTTCAAAGGGAAAACCCACGTAAAGCGTTTACTATCCGCAAATAAGCACTCACAAAATGATTATGATATATTATTGTGGATGTTTCTCTGCTCCTTCACTCACTAATCACTCCTTGGAATAATGAGCCTAACAGAGCATCCTAGTTTCCTACAACTTTCTTTCCAGAACTCCTTAAAAATAATAAGCACCGAAAGATTGAATTCAGCACTAATCCGTTTGTGGAGTTCTAGTTGACTTTGTGGGGATTTGGCTTCTCCCCAAGGGTCTGTGAGGAGGACATAGTTCATTAAAGCTGATTTCTGAGTTTGTGGGCGGTGCATGGGAAAAATGCCAGACTTGTGTTCTTACTCTCTGATACAATGACAGGATTAAAGACATCTAGGAACTTGTATAGAACATAAGTCCATCTTTATCTGTACTATCCCTCAGTTGAAGCTTAGCCCTTCTTCCATTTACGAATACAGGCAGCAAACTGCGATGGGCGGGACCTGTCCTGTGTGCATGTCACCTAAACTGAAGCTCTCAGTGTTTTCAAGACCATTTAGACACTTTATTCCTTCTACACTGTGTTCATTCTTGCTCACAAGAGCTATCTTGTGACTCTAATGGATTAATAAAAAAACACATCTGTTAGGATGCCTAAGTGGTTGAGCATCTGCCTTTGGCTCATGGCGTGATGCCTGGGTCCTGGGATCTAGTCCCACATTGGGTTCCCGACAGGGAGCCTGCTTCTCCCTCTGAATATGTATCTGCCTCTCTCTGTGTGTCTTTCACAAATAAATAAATAAAATCTTTAAAAAGAAACCACACATATCTGTTAACACTTTACAGTTTGGGGATTTGATAAAGGTATTTTAATATTAATTCTTTCCCATTATAATCCAATGTATATTCTCTTAAACTCTTAAAAATATTGTCCTGGGAAGGGGCCCATAAGCCTTATCAGATATATAAAGAAGCCCTTGACATGAACAAAGAAGGGTCAAAGGGATCTTCAGAGCCTTGAAAGACTCTGGGTTTTGAAAATGTGCAGAGAGAAGCATTAGGAAATGACATGAATGTTGGCATGAAATTAATACGTAATAGTAACCTGATGGAGGTGTGTAAGGGTAAATGGCAATAATTTTCTCCTCTTAGCAACAGGAAAGAGATTATAGGGAGAGTGTAGTACAGTGGAGACAGGTGCAAAGGCAAATACCCACCAAGTGCCCAGAAATACAAGTTTGATATTTAGGCAAAAGGACCGATTTGAAGAGACAGACTTAGAAGTTACTCACATTGAGGTGACTCATAAGCCCACCATGAAGGTGATAGGGGTAGTACCTTGGAGAGACTCTCTACACTGACATGTCCAAGAAACAGCTCTTCCTTGGTGGCACTGTGTCTCTTTGGGTAGAATCTTGACTCTCCTATTTCTTGTATGGACTAAATACTGTCACAGCCTTATGACTCAATGTCTCTGCAATTCCTGGAGTATTAATTATCAAAGAATAATTATCAAATTATCAAAGAAGATTATCAAAGAATAATCTTCAAATGAGTTTCAAAACCAACCATAATGAATCAAAACCACTTTTTTTTCAAAACCACTTTAAAAGAATTAAGAATATGTAAGCTCTATAAAAAGTGAATACACAAAGTAAAAATTATTTATACTAAGCTGATATCTCATCTCACCCCTCTTCATCATGTTAATATTTAATATAGTGACATTAATTTTCATGTTTCACTTGGATTGACTGAAAGAAATAATCAGTCATTTCTTGATTTTGAGGGGATAATAAAGGAAATTGAAACCTTCCCCCTCTTGAGCTTTGCTGTGTTTCCTTCTTTCACTGTCATAGTGGAACACAGATTGGTTCATGTTTCAAAATAAATATAATATGTTAAAGAGAAAAAAGGAATTTGTGAAGAAAATCACATTAAATCACTTCCTACCATAAACCTATTTCCCATTCAACAGTAAGCATAAGTTGTAATGTGATGCCTTCCATAAATGAAAAATATACTAGTGAATATAAAACATACTTTTAAAAAAGGTCCCCCTCTCAAGGGAATGCTGTAAGTGTGTGCATGTCTGTGTGTGTTGTGCATGTATATAATCTTTGTTACTTTAATACCTTCCAAATTTCTCTTTCTCAAGAATGGCAGATTTCTATACCCAAACTTGTACACATTGTAGTAACTGATCTCTACCAATAAAATCAATATAAGATAATATTTTCAACTAATAAAGGTACCCAACTGCTCTTATGCCACTTCCAAATCTCCTATCATCATCTAAAACAAACATAAGCCAAACAACCGGGTCAGGAGGATCGCACTTGCTGCATTTCCCATTTTTCTAGACAAATACTGAATGCAGAAACCCCAAACTAACTAACTCTGCAAATCGTTACTAGAAGCCATGATAAAGGTTTTACAGACAAAATAATGACCGTTCTTGTCAAAATTAGCAGTTCTTCCAAGAATCCTTTACTATCATTCTTGTAGAGAAATAGGGAGAGAGCCTGTGTTATTTCCCTTCATATGAAACAGATTTTCTGGCTAAATCTCGATGAGAACTAAGCAGCTGTTGAACATATGAGAAGCCAAGAATGTATAGAATAACCCTAGAAAGCAAGTTATTGAAAGCACAAAGCGAAGAATTTATATTTTAAAGGAAAATCAAGAAGTTGTCTCTCTGACCTGTGAATCTCTCAGGGTGTCAGGGGCTTTTGAAAAGAGCTGAAACCCAGATGATGAAAACTGGAAGAAGAAAACACGAAGATGTCAAAGCATGAGGGGTCTCGCTTCGCTATAGAGTGTAATCAGCGTGATTCCTCCCCAGGAAATTTTAATTTTTTTGCTTTCCCCAACTGTAACAAACACAATTCCGAGACAGAGCTGACACCAGGCTGCTGTCAAGTTGGAGGACTGAGCTCGGAGCCAATCAGCGCGCGGCGTCCTTGTTGTATATATACACACGCACACACGCACGCCGAACCAAGCAGCTCAACTCCGAGACTCGATTAATATTATTTTTTCCTTTCATCTTCAGGAACCAAAACCCACTATGTCCGAGACCGCTCCTGCCGCGCCTCCGGCCCCGGCCCCCGCGGAGAAGACGCCGGTGAAGAAGAAGGCCCGCAAGTCCGCCGGCGCAGCCAAGCGCAAGGCGTCCGGGCCCCCGGTGTCCGAGCTCATCACCAAGGCGGTGGCCGCGTCCAAGGAGCGCAGCGGCGTGTCCCTGGCCGCGCTCAAGAAGGCGCTGGCGGCCGCCGGCTACGACGTGGAGAAGAACAACAGCCGCATCAAGCTGGGCCTCAAGAGCCTGGTGAGCAAGGGGACCCTGGTGCAGACCAAGGGCACCGGCGCCTCGGGCTCCTTCAAGCTCAACAAGAAGGCGGCCTCCGGGGAGGCCAAGGCCAAGAAAGCGGGCGCGGCTAAGCCCAAGCGGGCGGCGGGGACGGCCAAGAAGCCCAAGAAGGCAGCGGGGACCGGCACCCCCAAGAAGAGCACCAAGAAGACCCCGAAGAAGGCCAAGAAGCCCGCCGCGGCCGCAGTCGCCAAGAAGGTGGCCAAGAGCCCCAAGAAGGCGAAGGCGGCCAAGACCAAGAAGGCGGCCAAGAGTCCGGCCAAGACCAAAGCCCCGAAGCCCAAGGCAGCCAAGCCCAAGGCGGCCAAACCCAAGAAAGTGGCCGCCAAGAAGAAATAAGAATACAGAGTAGTTTAGGATCTTTTTAAAGGCTCTTTTCAGAGCCACCCCAAGCTTCCGAAAAGAGCTGCGGCACTCTGCAGGGAAGGGGGCGTGGCGGGAGGGGAGACTGGCGAGCGGGAGCGGCACCTACAGGGGCGCCTGTTAAGTGCGTACGGGCCTGGGGAAATTTCAAATGGGACAATGATTTCTCCTCTAGTCTGGTAAGTGCGCTGGTTCAACCTAAATTGGCCCGTAGTTCACACGGCGCAATAGGGCTAATATACATAGGGGAGAAGTCCTTTGCAAAACGAACTTTGAAACCGATTTGCCACTTAATAGAAAGTACTCCAGTCACCGTGGATCTTTATACTGTATTGGTAGAAAACTATGAAGTATTTCGGTGGTCTTTCCATTATCTTAATCATGGAATTGCGCCATCTCCTAAACAAGCATTTGCCCACCAGCTACAATAACTAGGACGTCAGTTTGGCCACCAGTGACCACCAGGCTTCTGCTGTGCGACACCCATCCTAGTGCAGGAAGTTGTTCTAACCAACAAAAACTGTCCACACACAATTCTCCCTTACACTACCTCAAAGTTAAAATACATATTGGCGTTGAAGAAGACTATTTATAGTAACCTTTGGTAGCGAAGTTTAGACCGACCTTCTGATTGGGTCGAAGCACAGTAACGAGGCAGCCAATGAAACGCTAGAATTGCAAGTACCTTTTACAATTCGCATTTGTGACGACACAGTAAAATTAATCCAATCGTAAATGATCTTACTAACCTCATTCGAATGCCTCCTCTATAAATAAACCGGGTCTTACAGTGGCTGATATTTTTCCTCCGGCTTTACGGAACGTGTGATATTCAAGGTCACTATGCCAGAACCCACCAAGTCCGCGCCAGCCCCAAAGAAGGGCTCCAAGAAGGCGGTGACCAAGGCGCAGAAGAAGGACGGCAAGAAGCGCAAGCGCAGCCGCAAGGAGAGCTACTCGGTGTACGTGTACAAGGTGCTGAAGCAGGTGCACCCCGACACGGGCATCTCGTCCAAGGCCATGGGCATCATGAACTCGTTCGTCAACGACATCTTCGAGCGCATCGCGGGCGAGGCGTCGCGCCTGGCGCATTACAACAAGCGCTCGACCATCACGTCCAGGGAGATCCAGACGGCCGTGCGCCTGCTGCTGCCCGGGGAGCTGGCCAAGCACGCCGTGTCCGAGGGCACCAAGGCCGTCACCAAGTACACCAGCTCCAAGTAAACGTGCCAAGTAAGCGTCTCCTTCCCTAAACCCAAAGGCTCTTTTCAGAGCCACGCATGCTTTCAACAAATGAGCTATAATGCTTTCTAAAAACTATTCTCAAATGCATCCTAATCAAGTTTACTCTAAGATCGATACATAGCTACGACTCTATGATTTTCTCTTAGGATTGCGTAGCAAGGATGCCACATTTCCCAGTCGATAACCATACCCATCATAAATTGAGTGCTCGCTATGCCCAAAACCGGTTCTGTACAACCATTATCCCTTAGTTTCACAACACTAAACCTCAATTTTAAATGAAAATGCCATTTCAAGTGTACAGCTCTCCTTCTGTGCGCAGGCTCCAAATTCATCGTGACATTCAAGGACTGGGGTAAGAACGGTTTCCCCAGAGCACAAAGCACGCTGTAAAAACTTTGTTTTGCTCAGAGCTTTTCTTTTCAGCATATAGATATGCAATAATGAAAAAAAAGACAACATGAGTTTTCATGGAAATCTTACACAGGCTTTTCTGGCTTGCTAGCTTTGCAATAGCGCCCATTTCTGCTGGTGGGGGAGGTAGGGTGGGGATCAGAGAGGAGTCTGTGCTGTATCCTAAAGGCGCAGACAGACAGGAAAAGGAACCTGTCCTGACTTTGAAGGGCTTTCAGATCCTGTCATCTACTACAGCTTCTCTCCTACAAAGTCCTATTTCATTGCCGGTCTTCTTCCAGCAGCCTTAGCTGGGAAGACCCCAGGGTCACAAGAGAAAAGCCCACTACTCAATCCCATAAAGTGTCTGACTGGATAGGCAATAGTTACCCCGGGACTGAGGCCCCCTTTCCTCCCCTGGCCCCTTGCCCCGTGTCCCTGAGAGGCAAGGACTGAGAGGAGGTAGAAAGGGAAAGAAAGCCCTTCCCGGGAGGATGTGGCTTCTGCTGCACAAGGTCAGATGGCATAAAGGGTTTCTGCTGCTGGTGGGAATGGATTATTGTGGGGAAAAGAAATCTGGGGGAAAAAGCTGGGGAGCTGGGAGGAACTGGCCAGGGGGTAAGCAGTCAACAGCTGAGAGTTCCCCCAAGAAAACGGATGAGATTATCTTTCCGGGTGTAGCTGACACACTCACCGGTTCCATCCTCAGGGTAGAAGGATGAACTAGAAATGAGCACAGGACCAGACAGCACATGGGCACCCCCACACTCCCACTCGCCCAGAAGATGGCAACAGTGTGTGCTCACCCTCCGTGCCGAGCAAGGTAGATTGTGCCACCCACAATTCCCACCACCACTCACTTGCTTCTGGCACTGACATCACAGGGATTCGGAACACCCGGGCTGAGGATTAACTCCGAGATCTCCCAAGCTGGCTTTGTACCCCTGAGCACCTGCTCAAGGCAAATACAAATCCTCTCTGAAGGAATAAGCTTCATTTTTGGTCTCAGCAAATCCTCCACACATAAGATAGCAAAGAAAATGAAAGGGCAGCTTCACAACCAAAATCAACACAGGATTCAACAAGACAATGTAACCAACAAGAAGAGAAGCCCACAGGCACAGTGGAAACAAAAGGAGTAAAAAGAAAATGAACAGATACAAACTTCAAGTTGCTAACTTGAATATCTTTTAAAAGGAAAAGGAAAACACTAAGTGAAATATGCTGAGGGATTAAGAATACAAGGAATTTTCCAAAAAGAGTCGAAAGAACCAAATATGACTTCCAGAAATGAAGGTGTGGATATACACGTTAATATATATATATGAAAATTAAAATTAAAGGCTTGCTAAATGGGCCCAAAAAAATCAATAGGCTCCAGATGAAGAATTTTCATGAATTCTGTAAGCAGACCTTATTTATCCAAAATGCGGGGAGAGAAATGTAAAAGTGAGTTTAAGAGATCTGGAATTAGTAGTGAAATTGTCTGCCATGTGTCTAATCATGGCACCACAAGGACAACCAGAGAGATTGATGCTGGTGTGAGCTTCCAATGATCATGGCTGAGAATTTTTCAGAGTTAATGGATTACTCATGTAACTCAAAATCAATAAAATAGGGTGAAACTCGTACACCAAAACGGGGGTCACTCTGTCACACTGTGAACCAAACCCCATAAATTCTCCCAACAAACGTAAAGCTAGTTTTCTAATCTGTTCTGCTAGATGGCAATAGACTGAAGCACTGTTATAAATTCTTGAGGGTGGGAGGATAATTGACAGATTATTTACATGCACTTGATATCTATCCGATTACCAAATTTTGCAAAACCTAATCAATATTTAATGATTTAATGGACTGTCCTGAGTTCATCACAAATAGTACTATCATTAGCAGACCAGAAACTTTGATATTTTTTCCAATAACTATTTCTGTAACTATTTTTATCATGGTATTGTGTTAGTTAATGTCACACGCTATATGCCATGTTAAGGCATCACCGTCATTTTCTTCCTTTTCACTAAAGTGGTTTTAGTAGTTCCTGACGTGTTAAAAACCTGTTTGCTTGCATGCATGGATATGTATATAATCTGTGTGTGTTGGTTAGTTTCCTTCTAAATATACTTTTAAAGGTTTTATTATGAATGATGTGTGAATTTTCGGTATTTGATGAAATCAAGGGCTTTTCCTCCTCTAGCCTGCTACAATAAATTACGAGTAGATTCCCTAATGCTACCCTATACTTGTATTCCAAGGCCAAATCTTCTTTGGTCATTTTCTATTAGTATCTTAAATACTGGCTGCACACATTTTAGATTTCCGGGGGATTTTTCCTCCGCTCTACACACGTAAAATCATTCTGTGATTTTCCCTTTTCGGTTAACCTGTATCAGATTTGGTCAATAAGACTATGGTAACTTTGAACGCTTAATTGTGAGCCTCTCCTCCATTATCTGCTGCTAGGTAACAAACTACCCCAAAACTCAACAGCTTAAATCAATGAACATTTATTATCTATTTTTTGGCGGGGGGCGGGGAGAGATCAGGAACCTAGACGTGATTTCCTGGGAGGTTCTGGCCAGGATCTCTCCTGAGGCTGAAGTCAAGATGCAAACACGCACAGCAGTCACCTGAAGCTTAACTGTGGGTTCCCTTCCAAGGTGGCTCACCCTCGTGCCACCCAAGTTCCTGTGGGCTCTCAGCAGGAGGACCTCCGATTCTAGCCACATAGACCTGTCAGGACGGCCAACTGGCTCTCTTCCACAAAGACAAATCATAGAGAGAAGGGAGGAGGAATTTGTCACAGAGTCTCTACGACCTAGTTCCAAATGTCACACGCTGTGACTTCTGCCACTTTCTATTAATTAGAAACAAGTCACTTAAAAAAATGGCGTACACCCAGAAGGGCAACTAGGCTCCACCTTTCAAGGGAAGGTAGCACATTTGTGAACATAATGCGAAACCAACACATCGTCTTTTTTGTTTAAATACTTGATTGTATAAAAGTATTTGTGCTTTAGACAGTAGACAGAAGTCAGCTGTATAATCACTTGGACCTAATACTTTTCTAAGTGGTAGCTCTTTAAGAATTCCAGGAAATTGGGGGCATCTGGATTGCTCAGTTAAGCGTCTGCCTTCAGCTCATGGAGCCCTACATTGGGCTCCCTGCTCAGTGGGGGAGTCTGCTTCTCCCTCTGCCACTTCCCACTGCTGGTGCTCTCTCTGTCTCTGGTAAATAAATAAGTAAAATCTTAAAAAAAAAAAAAAAAAAAAAAGGATTCTAGGAAATTAGACCATAATTGACCGCTATCCATAAACACAAAATCCAATGAAACTCCCACATGATGCCGGTCGACTTTTCCCTAAGATTGTAAGGGACCAAACAGTGGTCTCTGCATTACATATAGCAGCACATTGCAGGTACTTAGAGAAAATATTGAATGAATTCATCTGAAAACTCCTAAACAGCCATCTGTACAACAAGACTCTGGTTCATGAGGGTTATAAGAATGTCCAACAAAACTAATGGGTGTGGAGAAAACAAGTTAAAAGAGAAAACAAAATAAAAAGATAAAACCCCAGAAAATACTTTAACTTATGAAAATATAAGAAATTAACAATATGGAAGGACCAATTAATAAATTTTGCAATTGGACAAGTTAAAGCTACATTAATAGACTTCAAAGGCAAAATTTGAGTTAATGATTGAGTCAGACTTAAAAAATGACCTACAATGCTTCAAGTGTAAAGTAACAGATTAGGAGGTAGCAGAAGGACATGAAAGAAGAAACTAAAAGCATAGTTACATCATGAAGGCTTATAAGGAGACCCTTGACATGTGTCAAAATTCCCTACTAAATTGTACCATGGCAGTCATTCCAAGTATTTCTTATAAGTCCAGAGATAGTCATGGAAGATCTTTGGGCACTAGAGATACAAAGAGAGATGAGGTTGTTCTTGTCCTTCTGGAGCGCTCAGGTTTGTAGGCCATCAAGGAAACCCACAGCTCATTGCTTGCTTCTTATTTATTTATTTTAATAATCATTTACTGACACCTAAAATGTTTATCACTCTTTAGAAATCTGCTGGCCGGTTTATGGGAACTACAGAACTCATTAAATTGATGCAAAATATTCATCCAAATACTTTAGTCATATTTAGAATAGAGTAATACTAGTATCTTTGTGCTATAGTCCGAAGTCAAGGTATAGTCCCATAAGATTGCCCTCATGTCTGACATCAGCTGCAAAGTTGATGGGTTTACATAACCATCCTCAGATTTAGTTATTCTTTAGATGATACACAGAATTCACTAAAAGTTATTTTACTCAAAGTTGGGGTTTATTATAACAAAAGAATAGGTTAAGCCAATGTAAGAAGCAGAAGAGCAGGGTCTCTGAGGGTTCCTAACTCGGAGCTTCTGTAGTCCTTGCCCTTTGGGGGAATAGGGAGAGTTATTGCCTCCCTGCAACACAACAATATTTTAACAACACAATACACATTGCCAACCAAGGGGCTTCATCACATACACATGGTTTACTGTCCACGTGGCTGATCTCTTACTCAGCAGTCCCTCTGGAGGTAGTCCAGACACCACACGGCCCAAAGCCCCCAACATAAAGGACATTAGTACAGTGTCCTGAACAGCCCAAAGCCTCTTTGTAAACAAAGGTATTCTTATCCTGCAGGGCATTCCAAGGGCCTACACATCACCTCTCAGCAAAGGGCAAAGGCCACACCTCCCTTCGCATAATATTAGCTCTTTACTATGCACATCGTCTTAAGAAAAACTATGTTTTTACAGTTTTGATCAGATATCTGTCATTGACCAGAACTTGAATTCTCCAACTATTTACCTTTTGAAGGTTCTGTCAAATAGTTTGGATTATTCAGGTCGAGTGTGGACTCAAAAGTTATAAGGAGACTTCTTACTGAAGGCTATTTTTTGTACTTTGTTCAGATGAACAACTTCAGCTGTCTCCCGCCTGATTTATACTCCCAGTGGTCCTCCAAACCCTGGCCCTGGAAGGAAGACTGGGGAGCGGTGGAGATCACCCAGGGGATGCCCACAGTTCTCAAGTTTCATTTTGGTGTCGTGGACATGCAATGCTGCACAGAACAGAAGGCTCCCTTTGCTTTACATGAACAGCAGCATTTGAATGGCTTTTCCTTCCACAACCATGACATTTGCTACCATGGATAGGGACTGGGAATTGTGGAAGAAGTGAAGGACTAAAGTTTTAGAATTGTGTCTAAAAGTTTAACCATGAAGGTTAGGCTGTATTTCATAGTACAATACAATAATGAGTATCACAGCCAAATTATGATGATTTTTTAAGGAGAAACATGGAGCATAGGGAAAGAAGGTGAGAGATATTGAGAGGGACTCAGAAAAAGAATGGAAGCAGCAAATGGCTAAAGAGACTGAAGACCGAAGAGAAGCCACAGAGCACACTAGCCAGAGAGAGCAGAAAGGGAAAGGAGGCGAGATGAGGGGATAGACCTTGTCATCTTTTGGGCACTTCACCTGGGCATAGCACATGTTACATATTGAAATACTCCCCACATTTCGTGGGTCTTGGGGCGAGTGGATGGGTTACAATGTTACCATGTCTGGGAGGTACTCTCTGACCTGCAAAAGTAAAATGGCACCCTTCTATCTCCTTCATAACTTGCTCTGTTTATTCTTCTTCATTACACTTAGCACTAACTGACATGAATCTGTGTATTATTCGTTTCATCTTCCCATTCTCCAGACTGTAAGCTCCACTGGGTTGGGTTAGGTTTCTTTTTGCAGCTGACCTCCAAATGCCCAAAGCTGTTCTACCCATACAGTAGGCTGTCAATGCACATCAATCTATAACAATAAGGAGAGAGGTCAGAGCTGAGTTATTGCAATGGTCCCATTGATTTAGTGACTCAGCGTTTTGATACTTATTTCCACATCTGTACAACAACAATAATAATTCTAGGAAGTAGTGTACTTTGAAGGATTAAATGAGATATATCATGTAAAGGTTTAACAACACTGATGGACATCTAGTAAGCAACAATCGCTAGCAAGTCCATTTTCTTTAGTCACTGAATTAAAAGTCCAATCGGAGTAGCCAATTCTTCTCAGAAGAAAAACTAACAAGAAAATAGGAGCCTTTGGACGACTAGAATCCCACCTCAAGGAGTATATTTGGGGGATTTGGAAGAAAGATAATATTATTCAAGAATATCTCGACTAAGCATGGTCTGACTCATTAACTGTTTGTGCTCACAATGACTAAAACACACGTAACACGGGAGTAAAGATATCTCATAGCACATTATACAAACACATTAAAAGAACTCTCTTCCTTGTATAACAAATATTAGTACTGATGGCAAAATGGGACTGAAGAAGAACCCTTTTTTCTTCTTCAGACATAGGAGGGGTATGAATGCAGAGAAGAAATGAATGCAAACAGTAACTGAAAATGTGGATGACCTCATGGAATTTATGAAGTATGAAAGTCTGATCTGCCTGAGAATAATTAGTGTGTATATCCCGCTCAAATCTAACCTGTCCTGGTTTGCTGTACACTGATTCATTAGAGTGAGAGCATTACCTCAGTAAGAGCCTACATAAAGTGTCTTAGCATTTTCATTGTAGTTTTTGCTCTAATCATAAAGCAGAATTTACTTCTGTTACAGGCCCAGTGACTGGGAATTCATTATTTACCACGGACTACCTTAGCTGGGAAGTCTAAATGACTGCAAAACGTCTGTAAATGAAAAGGGATGATTAATAAAATCTGGAGAAATGGAATTCTGCATTGATTGTAGATAACAATCCTTCTAGATCTCGCCTTTCCAGGCATACAATTTGTTTTTCACTTTATAGCCTGGCATGGATGTCTGAGTGGGTAAGACCTAAGCACTGGTTTGGCTTTGGTGATGATCTTGAAGGTCAACAGCTTGGTTCAGCTCAGCTGACATTTGAGGGGTCACCTCCAGCATCTGAATTAAGGGAATCACAATACTTGGAAGCAGTCTCAAACTTCAGCGTGCACCAAAATCACCTGCACTGTTTTTGTAAAACAGATGGCTGGGCCCACCTCACAGATCCTGATTCCCTGGATCTCTAGCAGGATCCCATTATTTGCATTTCCATGTTATCCAAGTGCTGCTGCGATGCTCCTGGTGCAGGACTCACACCACAGAACTGTGCTTTCAACCAGAAGAGGGGATTTCCTCGCAATACTAATACGAAACAGCCACACA